CCCTCTTTTGGGGAGTGATTTCTCACTTTCCCTCTAGTGAGCACATGTGCCCTGAAGCAGAAACCTAAAAAAAAATAAAATAAAATTTCAAAGATTCAAAAATAGCAGGGACCAGCAGGTGGCGTGGTGGTTAAGGTGCTGGACATTCCCACATGGCTGACCATGGCTCAAGTCCTAGACCTGGTGGCTTGCTTTCTCACTTTCTCTCTCTCTCTGTGTCTCTCTCTGGTCAAAATAAAATAAGTAAATGAATAAATAAAATTAAAAATAAATAATTCTTTAATAAAAAAAAAAAAGATTCAAAGATGGCAGCCATTGTCTTTACTAGGCATCAATAACCCTGTACCTGAAACTATTTGAGAGTCACTGTGGGTGGGGAATGAGTCAGATGACCTCTTGAGGTCCTTCTTAACTTTAGGTTTCTAGAATTGTCTAATTATGTGAATGGAATGTGAAAAGAACTTGAGTCTAGGAATAGTCCCATAGGAAAAAGCTTTTTAGGTTAAAAGCTTTCAAATCTTTTTAAAATGATGAAAGTGCTTCTGAACATGTAGTGAGCAATACTGAGTTATTTTAACCTTCTTCTCAAAGAATCTTCTTACACTACTTTGAAAAAGAAAGTTATTTATTTCTATGAGAGAGAAACAGACAGAGGGAGGACCCCCTAACGGGGTCATTACACTGCGATCCACCCCAGTCTCTGCCAGCTTGGATCATCGACGAGTGCATGCATGCCTGGTGTACAAAGAGGTCCCAGGGTTCGACTCAGGACTTCTGTGTGGGATCAGTTCTGTTATCACACCACCTCCTGGTGACTGTACTTCTTTGAAAGCTTTATTTATTTAGTAATTTCATAAAGTACTTTGCCTATGTTATTGGTGTTGAGAAGATTTTTTTTTTCACTCATGTTTTTTTCCTTTTCTGTCTGTTCTGTTACTTTCTCTGTGTGTTTTGATTTCTTTGCTGTGCAGTATGACGTCATTGGAAATAGCTAAGAGAAATAGATCTGAATGGTCAGTGTGCAGACTAGTTGAATGATAAATAACTTGTCAAGACAAGTGGTCACTTTTCACAGGGCTTTTTCATTGATATTTCATGAGAATTCTTCCAAACTTTTTTTTTTTATTAATTCACTTTACACCATCACAACACACAAATGAATTTTCCATCCAATATACACTGTGCATTGGCTCAATCAAGCACATCCACATACATGTTCTCAGCAAATAATTTTCCAATTCTTACGTCCTGCATACCTTGCCCTTTGTCTTGCCATCCCTGATTCCCCATTCCCCACCTTCTGCTATGTCCCATCTTCCTCCCCCATTGTCCCTGGCATCCATGGTTGCCCTCCATACCTTCC